TCAGTCTGGGGATGACGCCCCGGGGAAAAAGGCAGCTTGTCTTTGACGGATCCACTACGTCCACTAAATCTCCCAATCTGCAAGCTTGAGGGCACCGGTTAGAAAGGTCCTCTTTCACCGAGTTACTTTTTGATCAAGTCTCCTGTAGCAAACGCATGTTGACATTGGAAAGGTCAGGCTCATTCACACCCGATGCGAGGACGTAAAAGCACAGGCCAGGTTTTCACGGCTGAGACGGGGGGAGAGAGAAAGTCATGACAGGGTGCCATCCGGCAGCTTGCAGAACAGCTAATGGGAGGTTTTTGACTCCTGGGAGTGTAAACTGCGACCGGCCTGGAGGTACGCAGCTGTCTGGGGAGGAGGAGGGAGCGTTTCTGCGGCCACAAAGCCAAACAGAAGAGGTGTTAGTCTTGGATCGGGATGGAGAAAGGTCAGAGAGGCTGTGGACGACGGACTCCCCTCTGTGACTATAGGTACCCTTGTGGCTTAGATTGCTCCTTATTACCTAACATCAATTACGGCAGCAATAATTACGATGGATCGCATTACCGGCAGCGTTTATAAGATTGCTGCCCATGATACAGTCACGAACAAGGTTTTCCTGGCTTCAGCGCTTTGGCAGCTCTGAGCATAATTTCATCATCCTTCAGCCTTATTCATATAAGGTCAATACCAAACGAGTGGGCTTGTTCATGGCAGGAATAGGATGTTCTGCTCAGCAAGAAATATGGGCTGTTAAATCTTTCAATGGCGATAGTGATGGAGTGACGGAGTGGTAAAGCAGACACATAATCTTTTGAGGCTGCTGATCTCAACACAGTTGTCCGTGGTTCAACTCCTGGCCCTGGATCATTTACTCCCTGCTCTCTCTGTCCATCTACTGAAGAATAAAGGCCACTACAGCCACGTGAACCTTTGACACAGAGTTCAAACTGTATCGTCTTTAGTTATGTTTCATGTTTAGCGTAATGCCTAAATCCTTGTCGGAGTAAATAAATCAAGAGCATTTATATTTTCTGCTTATTTGGATGTTAGGAAAAATAAATAAGGAAGGGTAAAAAGCTAATTAGCAAACAAAAATTGTATGCCTCTGGGCTACGGCTTAGATATTGTGTCTCGCTCCTCTGTAGTATGTTGGGTAAGTATTCGTGCTCGCTTTGTCCAGTCGCAATCTGAAACTGGGCATGGTATGCAATCGCTTATGGAAATCGCTACTTTTCAAACTTCCTCCCGCAGCTGGATTGCTAAAATGAGCTGTTAGGTCAACAAGAACATGGAGAAAAGATTCAGTTTAATCCGCGCTGCTCTTTATGTCTTTCCTTGTGCCAATACCGATTTATGAACATCTGCTTGTATTTAGCTGGACCTAAAAGTTATCGAGTTGCTTTCAGCATGAGGACAACAAAGACTTCAGGTCAAAGCCATCCGTTCTTTCTACGCTCACAACGTTGCACGCCGTTTTAGCGCCGACTTGCTCCTCTAGACGCTGGCTTCCTCATGACCTGTGTGTGTGAGTGTTGCCTGTGACTCAGTGTGTAATTCAGTGGATGTAGATCCACCATCAGCACCCATCGCTGACCTGACCTTCGTATCACTCTGCATCGCTCCGATCTCGTTTCCACCGCAACGCTGTTTTTGTTGCACTGTGTTTTGGAATCTCTGATTGATGAATCTTCAGAGTGTTTCCCTTCGCAAGGGGCGACTTCTCCGATGCGTCAACAGCGAAGCAGCAAACGGTTTTCACATCCTGTGCAGAAATTTTAGACTGATTCATGATGCTGACCGGTGAGAATGCTGACAAAGTAAAAGTGCGTTGCTAAACTATTTTCCGTCACCCAGTGACTGTCTGGGGCATGAACCTCTGCATAACGGTCATGTTCTTTTATAATTCAACATTCTGCTTATATTCTGCTTACATTGTGAACAGCAATGCACCGGTGGGACATGGAGACAGCAGCGGACGGCGCTCATCTCCTCCCTCGAATTGCATGAACCCATCGGCTCAACCTTCAGCATTACTGCTCCAAATCATCATTAACTTACTTCAACCCCAGTTACTTAATGTCCCCAGCCCCCCCAAAATACTTCACTCCCACCCCATCTCTATCCTATCCATCTGAGGCCATCTGGCTCTCACTCTCTGAAGTGCCAAGCCACAGTTTAGTGAGTTTAGGGTGGAGAACCAAACTTTGAAAACAAGCCGACCCAAGGCTTTCCATCTGCTGAACCTCTGAAGCTTTTGCTGAACTTTAAATTAGGGACAAATGCACTTGTAGGCTTAATTTATTCAAGGTAAGGAGTATTATTCCCTTGTCCTTTAAAATGAACTGTGTGGAGGTTTAAGAAGTTTAATTTTCTGTTTCATTAATCAGAGAAGACAATGGAAAAGACTTTTATAGCAATATATTAGCTCAGCTGCAAAAGATCCCAAATCAACCAACAGGATAACGTTTTATCTCTGCACTTTCATGTAGTTTTCAACACCAAGACACTTATTTGCCGAGGGAGATCTGAACCTAATTGTAGATCTTAAAGAATTATTTTCCTTTTCAGATTCATTATCAAATAGTTAATCAAACCCTTTTATCTTTATAAGACAACAAACTTTATCTTAAGAGACTAAAAGTGCTGAACTGCCAAGAAAAATATCTTACTTGTGCAAACTTTGAAACATAGAAGTTGTTCTATGCATGAAAAGAAATGACTTTGTAGCTACTCACAACTACAAACTTGAAAAAAACCTCATGAATTTTAGAGTATGCAGCCATTTCCTGAGAAAAAGCCACGTTCAGTGTCGTTTTGATATTCTTAAAAAAATCACAACAGTCTAAAAAGTGGAACTCTGCAGGACGTCAGGGCCCAGCTGACTCCTTCATGTGGGTCACCACAAAGACATACAGCATGGAGATGAATCCTGCCTGAAATATGGACGTTATGCAGGAAAAACAGACAAAGAGAGAAAACGAGAGATGAGGTGAAACACTTGACAAAAGCCAGGCTGCCTTCCAGAAGCTGTCAGAGGGTCGGCTCATAAATTCACGTAAAGTTCACCAAACTTCCAAAGACATTACATCACAATACGCCAAACCCACAATGTACGATAATAGCAGGATTTCAGGATGGGGTTTGTTTTATATGTTTTTTGTTCTTGCACAAGTTTCCCACCCGTGCTGCATGAGTGAACATCCAGGAAGCCTGGCGTACAGCATCACCGGACCTGGAAACGGCAGTTAAATAATACCTTAAGGTCTGAGGTATTTTGATCCTGCACAATTTAGGACTGTTACACAAATGGAAATAATTTAAAAGCTTTTTCCACATGGAAGAAAAATGATGACTCACTTATGTTTTGCTCACTTAAGCCAACAGGCTTTCATTTCCCCCCTGTTTCTCCTAATTTTGGTTTTACGCTCGTTGCCGCTGGCACCACTTGCGTCCTCTGTATTGTGACAGGAGTTGCTGTATACCGCAAACTACTTTCCAAGCGAGATCCATAAAAACCATTTGGCAAAGCGGGACGCTCAAGGAGCACAACAAGACCTCGTGCTTTGTCCTGTTTTTAATTGAAGCTGACTGTAAATGTCAAGAAAATTAAAGGAAGCTGTTTATTTATGTCTGGCATGCTGAGCTTAACCAGACAGGTCAAAATGAAGGAAAGGAAAAGCGTCATGGTGAACGAAACCAGGCAGTTTGGAAAAAAAAAAAGAAATATTTTCCAATGTAAGGAAACGTGATCATGTTTTTAGTATGTTTCTGGTACCTTAATTAAATCTATGTCTCGCTGAAGAACACATAATTTTATTAGAGCAAATTATGAGGCTTAGATTTAAATGAAGGTTTGGCATAAATTGCTGCAACAAAGAATTGTTTTGGAAAGCAATGCTAGAAATGAGTATGGAAGGTTTGGATGTAAAGTTATCTACATTCCTATTATTTATATAATAATACAGTATTTATTTAGATAAATGTAATTTATAAATAATAGGAGTATATTATTTATAAATAATAGGGGGAAAAATCCTTTGCAAATAGAATTCTTTGCAAAACCATGTGAAAATGTTACTAAATTACTCATGAGAAATTTTGAGGAAGAAAAAAAGCATTTCTCAAACTCCACAGAAATAATATGTGACCTTTGGCCTCAGTGGGCAGTCTGGCAGGGTTTCACTTCTCCTTATTCATCGGAGTTGTCATAAGTGTGATGTTGTCTAGTAAATTTAATAAATAACAATAATAAAATTATTGTTGATGGTCTAACTGTCTAGCTTGGCCTTGAAGACAGTGAGAACATAAATTCATAAACAGATAATGCATAGATCGGAAATTTTAACACGATGATGAAATACACACAGTAAAGTACACTGGATTTGGAGTTTGGTCCTCAAAAAAAAAAAAAAAAAAAAGATAGATAAGAAATACAAAGATGAAGGTTGGAGCTGATTTTACTGAAGGTCATGTCACGTTACAGTTTGAGTCCAGTCTTAAAAATGCAGCATTTGTGAATGTGATTGACTTTATTTGACCACGCTATAGTCCCACACTCCCTTTAGGGTTTCTTTCTAAAAGGGTGCATATCCTTCACAGAGAAAATAAAATGGCACGTTGCGATAGATGTTAGTCAATACACTGCTGAAATGAATTTGCACAAAAGCAAGTGTGTGAATACATGCTGTCCTTGCACAAAAACACCAGTAGATGGAGGTGGAATAAATATTGTGCTTGTTTCATCAAGCACAAAAAAAAGACTGCTTCCTTGAATTCAGAGCAATTCGTGCGCAAATATTTAGCATCTTTCTGTAGTTCTTACACTCCTTTTTACACCTTACAATCGCTTTTGACTTATTTCATGCAGCGAAAGTGACGGGTGAGTGTTGCTCACACGCAGGAGGATGATCCAGACTCCAGTAAAAGCCCTCCCCTATCCCCCAGTGCCCCGGGGCAGAGCAGCGTCCTGGTATAAAACCGCTCCGCTCCCCTCTCCTCATTCTGGTGCAAAAGCTGCAGACCGAGCTGAGCTGCCTGCAGAGGCTGAAGCTCCAAAACCTCTCCAAGCTTTTGCTTCTACACACCTCCGTCTGCCGTCCTATTTTTTTTTTAGGTGTTCTTTTTCAGTTAAATTTTTTAAATTAATATCATTACCATTTGCATTAAAATCCGTGTCCATCCACAAAATGACGCGTGGCCCGTTGACGGGGTTGCTGGTTGCGCTGTGCGTAAGCAGCGCGGTCCACTGCGCCCCGAAGAAGAGCAAAAGACAGACGGATCAGTATCAGGTGTATCCAGACCCGTATGACGCGTCCGCGCTCTCTCCAGGTAAACACAAGCTGCTGTTGGTCGTGTGTGAGTCCGTGATGCTTTGAAACGTGCAGGGTTGGAATGAAATGTGAGGTGTTGCGTCTGGTGTTGGTTCGAGAAAGATTAAACTTACCCGACTGCAACTTATAATGTGTTATTTCACTTTTTTTTTTTTTAAACTTTGTAGACAGCTGTGAGGAGAATGGTAACACTTACACACGGAACCAGCAGTGGGAGAAACCTTACCGTGGAAGCACATTGGTTTGCACCTGCCATGGAGCTGCAGGGGTCAAGTGCAAAACAAAGCCTGAAGGTCAGTCAAAATCTGAAGTCCACCCCTCCAAGCCAATGTCAACAATTTCAGATGTGTGTGTGTTTTTTTTTTAACAAAAGCACTGATAAGCAAAGTAAAAGGGCTCCAAAGATCCAGATGTTGGATTTGAGTATTTTCACACACATGCAGGACAACGGTCCGAGGCAGGCTCACAATGACTCCTGACCTTTCTGTTTCCTCTGCTTTTGTCTCAGCGGACCAGACCTGCTACGACAAGGACAATGCCCGGACATACCGGGTGGGAGAAATCTACGAGAGACCAAAGGACGGGTTGATGTGGGACTGCACATGCGTTAGCTCTGGGAAAATCAGCTGCACCATAGCATGTGGGTCACACTTTCATTCTGAAGCTCACAGGTCAAATTTCAATGTGAAACGACAGAGGTCTTGTTTATTAATGCTGCATGTCACTGTGTTGCCTTTTAGTGTTAGATGCATTTTCAAGATGCAAAAGCAATATTTGATAAGTCGATCACAAACTGACTGGTCCTTTTTGTGATTGACAGACCGCTGCCATGATAGTGGCAGGTCTTATAAAATCGGGGAGACTTGGCAGAAGCCACATGAGAGCGGTGAATACATGCTGGAGTGTGTTTGTCTCGGGAACAACAAGGGAGAATGGACATGCAAACCTGTGGGTGAGTGTCTCCCCTGACAGCATTAAAACGCTTTTAAGAGCTTAATCCTCAACCATGCGTACCCATTACTTCACTTATTATCTTTGCAGCTGAAAAGTGCTTTGATAGCTACGCCTCATCATCGTATCTGGTTGGCGAGACCTGGGAAAGACCATACCAAGGCTGGATGATGCTGGATTGCACCTGCCTTGGAGAAGGAAATGGGCGTATCAGCTGCACCTCAAGGAGTAAGTACAAATCAAAACTACGCTCAAGCAAATAGGCCTGGCTTGATTTTGTCATTATTTCCGAACCAGATCGTTGCAATGACCCACAAACCAGGAGGTCTTTTCGGATTGGAGACACTTGGACAAAGACTGACCCCAGGGGGAACGCCATGCAGTGCGTGTGCTTGGGTAACGGCAGAGGAGAATCGAGTTGTCAAGGACAGAGCACAGGACGAGGTGAGTTCTGTTAAAGGCAGTCATGTAAACACAAAAAATGTCCTCTAACTTTAGTCCTTGACATCGTTTTAACGATCTGTTAACAGGCGCTGGTGTAACCCACGCTCTGCTGCATCATCATGTGCCCACCACTGAAGGGACCTGCCGCACAGACTCTGGTTCCTCGTACTTTGACGGGCACCGCTGGATCAGAAGCCAGGGCAGCAAGCAGATGTTGTGTACATGTCTGGGCAATGGAGTCAGCTGTCAGGAATGGGGTGAGTATGTTACAATGGAACCAAAAAACTTGCTTCTTACTGAAAACTTGGGTACTGCGGTGGTGAAAATTAAATTTTGCGCAAATTCAATTTTGACTTCTGTCATTTTATGTCTGTTCTGACTTAATTATTTCCTGTTTGTGTAGAGGCCAGGAACCAGGCGTACGGTGGCAATTCTAATGGCCAGCCATGTGTTTTCCCATTTGTCTTCATGGGAAAGACGTACTACTCTTGCACTTCAGATGGACGCACTGACGGGCAGCTCTGGTGCTCCACAACGTCCGACTATGAGAGAGATCAGCGGTATTCCTTCTGTACAGAAAAACTTGGTGAGACTCTCAAACAGAGACGTTGTTTTTATCTTAACAATGACAGTGACTTTGGTGAGGTTTTGTGTTGATGTTTGTCAGTTTCTGGTGTCCAGATTAGAGTTCGGGAGTAACTGAGTAGTTTCTGTGAAAATTGCAGCCGTCGTGGTGACGCAAGGCGGGAACTCCAACGGTGCCCTTTGCCACTTCCCATACCTCTACAGCGGTCGCAACTACACAGACTGTACCACCGATGGCCGCCGTGATGGCATGCGATGGTGCGGTACCACCTACAACTATGACGTGGACCAGCGTTTTGGATTTTGCCCCATGGCTGGTCAGTGTGAGGTGCTTGCTGTACCTCGGATGTTTTGTAGGATTTCCAATAAATTCATAATATTAGGCAAAAAGATTCAAAGTAACTTTATCTGATGTTCATTCCCAGCGGATTGTGTCCTGTGTAATTTAATAACAAGGCGAATCAGAATGGGTTTGAGTTTATCTCACCCAACACACATAGCAGACAGGCTGCTGTAGCTCTTTAGAGTTATTCTCTTCCTATTTTATTAGACTAAATTTTGTTTTTCCAGGGCAAATAATTAATAAATATGAAAAAATTGTTGGTAAAGACTATCAAATCCACAAATGTAGCACAGCTCTAAACTGAATTGTTTGAACTGCGTGTGCAAGAAAAAAAACCCCAAAAATGTTGGTTTTGTAAATTTTATTACTCTTTTCCTAATTAGCCCATGAGGAGGTCTGCACCACCAACGATGGAGTGATGCATCGTGTCGGAGACAAGTGGGACAAACGGCATGACGTCATGGGTCACATGATGGAGTGCACTTGCCTGGGAAATGGCCGTGGAGAGTGGAACTGCATCGCCCACTCGCAGCTGCGAGGTGAGACGACAGACACCATGTAGAGTTGAAATAAAGATGGTTTAAAGTTGTCTTGAGAAGACGCGCATGTGAAAGCTTTCCAGTTTAGGGAGTGAATTCTTGCTTTTCTTGATGTGCTCAGACAACTGCGTTGTTGATGGCTTGACCTACGAAGTCAACCAGCAGTTCTCAAAGCGCCACAACGAGGGCCACATGATGAACTGCACCTGCTTCGGACAGGGACGCGGCTACTGGAAGTGCGACGCCATAGGTCGGTTTGTGGCTCACTGCCTTGGCTGGTGAATACTCCACATTTCCACATCCAACCTTCTCTGTCCAACCAGCTCAACTTTCCCATCTGCTTGGTTTTTCTCTACCAGATCAGTGCAGAGATCAACAAAACAATGTGGTCTACCAGATTGGAGAACAGTGGGACAAAGTCATCAGTGGATATCATTACAGGTGCACTTGCTATGGCAAAGGAAGAGGAGAAATGGGATGCGAACCCCTGCAGTCCTACCCAGGTAAGAGAAAAAGCTCTTGCATAAACATCCGAATTGATCTTATTTGTGGCACCTTTTCGAACACAGCAGAATTGTTTCCTGTGTAGTACACAACACATACATAAAGTCTTCATACACACTTTTAAAATATTTACTTTTGAATGGACAAAAAAAAAATCCTGATTTGCAGGTATTTTCTTTTTTTTTATGTTTTTGGGTGATTTAAGATTCTCTTGCGTAACAGTGGGAAACGCTGACATAAATATGTATCTGTAACTTTAACAGATGCCAACGTCTCTCATGATAAAGTCCTTCATTTCCCACAATCCGATTGGATAGTTTTATAAGCTAGCTCGGTGCCTAGCTCAATTTCTTCTCCACCAGGGAAACCACTGAACACCTATTAGTGCAACGACGTTCAGCCTCAACAGCTTAGTGTTGCGACAAAACTGCGTTTCCTCCTCAGCAGTTGATTGTGCAACACAAGTACACAAACGCAAAAATCTACCTTTGTGGATGTCGGCTTCATGTTCACCTGGACCTCTGAGGAGTGACGTATGTCGGAGGATGTTGGAGGCCCTTAGACCATCTTGGTTTTTGCAGTTTGCAACTTCACCACACGATGTCACTAAATCGTACACGTCATTCCTTTACGTTAACTTGAAGGTTTTTTTCTGTCATGACAACTTACCAAACTGTCAATTATTAATACATTCAAAGCTTAAATGCTTTATTCAGTATTTGCAGTTGTTCTTACCTTATTTTTAGATAATAGATGCCCCATAAATGCTAATTTTTTTTGCAAAGTTACTCACCATCCTATGCTGCATGTAAAACATAGCTCCTGTTCCTGTTTGGTGCATAAATGCTGGATTTGTTGTTTTTTTTTTCACTCTCAGCACCCTTGTCATTTCCTTTAACCTTTGAAGTTTAAAGTTTTTTTTTTCTCCTCCCCCACCTGTTGTTAAGTAATTTTTGTTGTCCTGCTCAGATGAAGTAATTCATCAGACAGGCAAAAGTTTTGGAAAACCTCCTGTCCTTATTTACACAAAAGTTGCCTAAACTGTTACTTTGACCTGAGTCGAGGAGCTAATGTTGACCTGAATTGGGGCAGCTGTGATGCTTATCGTTCCATCAGGGCCCTGTACAGTTTGTGCAGGGCGAACATCCAGCGAGCCCGTGCAATGAGTTCGTATGAGAACGAGGGTGCAAATAAAAAGTGATGAATATAGCACGAAGGTGTCATTTCAGACTGTAAGCCGTCTGTAGGTGTTGAGCCGGTTTAGCGTCGCCTGGTGGTTTGATTCTGACCCAAAACTCTGAATCGTGTAGTTGTAACTCATCAAACAGTCCCCAGGTCTCCACCGTAGGTCACACTGTCATGTGATTCACAAGTCTGTTTTTTTTTTTTTTCTTCATGTAGGCCACATTTTCATTTTGTGCTTTTTATTGATGTTTCTTCAACCATTTGCTGCCGAAACTCCTCAGGCGGCTCAAGACCCGTCCAGGTCCTCATAACAGAAGCAGGAAACCAGCCAGACTCTCACCCCATTCAGTGGAATGTGCCACCGTCTACCCATGTCACCCAGTACATCCTCAAATGGAGACTTGTAAGTCACACTGAGATTTTTAGGAATCTTATCTTTCCTGGTGATTGTTTTTTTTTTTTGTGAGATTTCATATAGTTTGTGGCTAAGAGTTGAAAATGAGGTGGAAAGTCTTTGTTGATTTAGTCCAAAGTTTGAGTCCATGAACTCTGTTGCACACACTGTTGTTCCAGCTAGTTTCCACACATTCCCTGTGCAGGTGAAGCCTTCATTTGAGTGCTTCTTGTCCAAATGTTGCATATGTTTTGTCTCTGAGTTTGGTTCTATGACGGACTGGTAACCTGTCTAGGTTGGACACCGTCTGTCATCAAATGACTTCATTAGTTTAAGTTGAAGAGCTCTCAAAGACGCAGTTAGTTTCATTTAAATGTCTTATGTAAAGCTTCTCAGCGGCATGAGAGTAAATATTCTTTATCGTATACAGACTTGGAAGCCTGTATTTTGTCTTTTTACTCTGTTCTGTAGAAAAACAGTCGCAACCCATGGAGGGAGGTCACCATTCCTGGCCACCTCAACTCCTACACCATCAGTGGACTGCGTCCAGGTGTGACCTACGAGGGTCAGCTGGTCAGCATTATGCACTACGGGCAACGCGAGGTCACACGTTTCGATTTTACAACCGCTTATGGCTCCTGTGAGTTCATTGCAGCGTTTGACCATCTTTCAATGCCATAAAATCAAGAACATTTTCTTAAAGAAAATGTTTTTTTTTCCCCCTACCCAACTAATCTCAAAAAGTGGAGACATGGGAAGGAGAGACGACGCCACCTCCGCCAATTGTGGACATGTCTGAGTCGATAACAGAGATCACCTCCAACAGCTTTGTGGTGTCGTGGACCTCGGCTTCTTCTACCATCTCTGGCTTTAGGTTGGAGTACGAGCTCATCGAGGAGGGATCCTCACCAAAGTACCTGGGTGAGTTTTTGACTCAGAATGATTTGACTTGGAGTTCACATTTAACTGTTTGAGTTGTGTTGTAACTCATAACCTCTCGGGTGTTTCATCAAACCATTTTGTGGTGCTTCAGATGTTCCCCGCACCACCACGTCGGTCACCATCAGCGATCTTGAGCCTGGCCGCAGATACAACGTCAGCGTGTACGAGATGCCCGAGGGAGACGGACATCCGAACCTCATCCTGACCACCTCACAGACCACCGGTTGGAAACATTTCTACCGCTTTTCTTAAATAACGATAACATTGAGAATATGTGAGATTTTATCCAACTTTGTAGAATTTGTTTGCATAACTTCAATAATTTCCTTTTTCCTCTGCCAGCTCCTGACACGCCCACTTTGCTTCCTGTGGATGAGATCACAGAAACCTCCATCCGCATCAGCTGGAGCAGACCTCAGGCTCCGATCACTGGTGACAACGCACTTTCTGCTTTTATTTCTCAAATGTTCGGGCTATGTAAGTCAACTCCATGCTTCTGCTCTCAGGTTACCGCTTGGTTTACACTCCGTCAGAGGAAGGCAGCAGCACGGAGCTCATCCTCCCGGACTCTGAGACTTCAGTGACCCTGGTGGACCTTAGCCCAGGTCTCCTCTACAACGTCAGTATCTATGCTGTGGAGGACAACCTGGAGAGTGAGCCTGTTTCTGTGCGGGTCAGCACGGCCGGCTCGCAAAGACGAGGTACACATTATAAATGGCTGCTTTGCAATATGTTGCAAATATAATAACAGCACAGATAATCAAATTCAGCGCCCATGTTTGAGGCTGGATGGCTCTTTGGTTTAGCTGTTTAGATTTGGAAAAACAATTCTTAAAATGGAAGGTCATTACAACAAGCTGTCAGGTATGAGTTATATAATATAGCTTCATCAGTAACTTAAATATTTTTCTCGTCTTCGCAATCTAAGTTTTGACCAGGATGTGATTTATGAGGGTTCCGCAAAGCCTTCCGAGATTAAGTTCTAACACTTGGAAAGACAAATGCTCATGGAGCCAACACCCCTACTAAAGCACAAACACCTCATAAATCTTTAGCACATTCTTTATAGAAGATCATCATTTCTTTTACTTCCTTGTGGGAAATCTGACACTTTCGTTATGCTTGAAAAATAAAAACAGATGTTGCAGGAAACCTCTATTATTTTCATTCCTTCTGTTGCTTTAGCATTTGCTCTGGATTTTCCACCTTGTTTGAGCCAAACTTTGGCAAAAACTCAACTTGGGAACTGTTAAAACCTTTATTGGAATTACCTTTCAAGTTTGGAATTTGAAAACAAGCTGGATGTTTCCTTTTTGATCGTTATAATCAGTCGTTTCTTTTACTATTACCTTTCTTCGTTATCTAATATCAATATGGTAGAGGTCTTGCAAATATTTTAAAGATCGTTTGCTTCATAATAAAAATAATATGAACATAACAAGTAAAGGAGAACTACTGGGCGACACAGATCATCAAATACCAATGAGGCAAAGGTCTTAGCTGTTCTAAGCCATAAAGTGAGTGTTCATCCATTTAAGAAGTAATGCTAAACAGATGTTTGTTCTCAAGAGTTTCTATAAACGTCATGAGAAACACCTGATATTTAACTATGTGTGACCACATCTTTTCCTTTCCACAGAACAGATCCCGGCTCCGACCGACCTGCAGTTCTATGAGGTTTCAGATTCCAGGATCAGCATCACTTGGACGGGTCCTCCCACCGAGGTCACCGGCTACAGGGTGGTCTTCTCACCAATGGGCCAGGACGGCACCGAGCTGCGGCCCCTTCAGCTGCCCGTTTCCCCCAACGCGTACGTCGAAATCACCCATCTGCAGCCCGGCGTGCTCTACCGCTTCTACATCTACGCCGTCAGAGGGGATTCTGAGAGCCAGCCGCTTGTTGGAGAAAAATCCACCAGTAGGTGGCGCTTTTTTTTTTTTTTTTTTTTTAACTTCAAAGCTCAGATTATGTAAAAAAAAATCATCAGATTACAAAGCACATACTGATTTTTCCACATGAGTTATGTCTTCTTTTCCCCTGCAGAGCCTGACGCACCCACAAATATACGTTTCACTGACATTGGACATGACAGCGCACTGGTCATCTGGGACGCTCCCCGCGCTGTTGTTACTGGTTTCCGCCTCCTCCTGAGCACCGAGGGCTCCAACCCCGTTGAGAGGAGAATTCCCGGAGTGGTCACACAGTACCCATTGAAGAATTTGCGCCCAGACACACGGTACATGGCGGAGTTACACTCTGTGCAGGACAACGTGCTGAGCGAGGGAACCACTGAATATTTCACTACTGGTCAGTTGAAATGGATAAAAACTTTCACCCCAGACTAGAATGTATTTTTGTGTGGAGGTTTTTCTCATCTCTTCTGTCCCGTTTCCAGCTCCTCGAATGGGAAATGCTCCTCCTTTCAGCACAGAGGTCACAGACACTTCCATCATTATCAGCTGGATACCTGTCCGCAGATTCAGCTACAAGGTAGGTCATCGGCGTTTTGCTCCGATAACTCCAAAACTGTCGCCGCTTTTATGCATCAATGACAAGCTACATCTCCATCTTCAATGTATGAAGCTGATTAGTTGATTAGTTGGGCTACTAACCCCAGGAGATTAGTTGTTTGCTGAAATGTCACGGCTGCAAACACTTTACAAAATGTCAATTCTTTCTTTTTTGGTCAGTTGTGAGCAGATTTTAGATACTGTGCTAAATTTTATGAGTGTCTGCTGATGATCAGAATGTTTTCTCTTTGCTTTCTTCAGCTTTCTGTGCTCCCGAGTGAGGAAGGCGAATCTCCTAGAGAAGAGACCTCGGACTCCGGGCGTATTGACATCAGTGGTCTGTTCCCAGGAACTCAGTACACCTACAGCGTTCAACCCATATTCAACGGCCGCAACCGTGGAAACCCCATCACCCGCAACGTTGTCACCAGTGCGTCTGTATTTCATTTCACTGGAGGAAAAACACAGTCCTGATAACACCTGCTCAACATGAATCTTTGTTAAAGTGTTTATAACCAGGATGATGTAATGCTTGTGTGAGCCAATGCAGCACTGTTTAAACAATTTGGCAGGACCTTAACAGCTGCATAAGATCCTTTTTCTCCTGTGCAGCTGTGTCTCCTCCAACTGACCTCAGAGTGGTGTCCAACCCGGACACGGGAGATCTGACCGTCTACTGGATAGCCTCCACAACACCAGGTAAATATTGACTAAGCACCCCACGCACCGCCAAGCTGTTGGATGGGACCAAGTCTAGACCTTGGCTTTAGATCCCTAATCCACCTGGACAAAGGTCTCTATTACCTCTTTCTCAGGGTCATATATCAATGTGTCCATTTCACTCCCCTATTCTCCGCAGGGATCTCTGGCTACAGAGTGACAAGTACGCCAACCAGTGGCCACAGAGGGAACTTTTTGGAGGAGTTTGTGGCAGCGGATCAAAACACATGCCTTCTAGAAAACCTCAATCTGGGGGTGGAGTACAACGTCAGCGTCTTCACTCTCAAGGGACCAGTGGAGAGCGTACCGATATCCACCGTTGTGACCCCAGGTAGAGCCACCAGGAAGGCATCTTCCCCTGTTAACCACACAGCTGTGCCAAAAGAGTCTGTTAATAGGCAGATTGGTTTATTATTCAGATAATCTGAAGCTGTATCTTTGTTCTCATCTTTGGGCCAAAGTTTCAAACCAAAAATCTCAAAGCTATATGTTAGGAACAAAACCTAAAGAAGACATGTTAACCATGGTGTTAACATGTCTTCACCTTTCAAGAAGCCTGATTTTCTGTAATTGTGGTAAGGCTCCTGTTTTTCAGGTAACTGTATATAAGTAAAAATATCTTGTGGATGAACAGAATCTGAAAGTTCTACTTTTAAGAATCTGGGAAAAAATCAAACCCTCTTTAAAAGACCATAAGAAAGGTTGATTCTTATTACAATGAAGTGGAGGATAAAGCAAAAATGTTTTTATTTTGGGTTAGGGTTTGGTACAACAAAAACCACTCTTAGTTGTTTTCTATCTCATGCAAGGACAATGTTTGTCAAACATAATGCGAGACATTAAAAACCTTCAAGAAGGTTTTAAATCTTTGTGCAATTGCTAAATACTAAAACTAACATGGACACTGACTGAGGTGTGAACTGCATGAAGATCACAGTTAATAAATGATGGGATCAAATTTTCCAGCATGGCCAATAACTTTAAACATTGCATGCATTTTTCATTTTCATCGATGGTTATTGTTAATTGTTTTTCTCATTTGCTGTGTTGTTATTTGGCATGGCTTCTGTCACACAATGCTTCTCTTACTGCTTTAGTTGGAATGACACGTTGCTGATGTAATTCTATTCTCCTTTCTGTCTGATTTTTGCTTGTGCTTGGGAACCGGTCTAACCCCTTTTCAGAAATCCCCGTCCCAACTCACGTTGACTTCGTCGACGTTACTGACACCACCATTGGCCTGCGCTGGATCCCTGTAAACTTTACCGCCATCACTGCTTACCGCGTAACGGTAGTAACCTCAGGCGAGAGCATGCCCATCTTTCAAGATATGTTGGACGTGTCTGCTGGTTATTACACGATTCACGGCTTGGAGCCCGGCGTGGACTATGACATCACTATCGTCACAGTTACAGAGGAGGGAGAGAGCAAGCCGACCACATACACAAAACAAACAGAAGCTGGTGATTTTTTTTTTACCACTTAATTAAAGGGGAGGGACGGGAAATTGATTTTGAGAGACATGACAACACACTCTGCATTTTATTTGCTTGACCCTTGTGTCAACTTTTACGTGCAAATACAGATTCCTAGCAAAATCAGATTTATTCTTTTTATCCATTCATATGCCTTTTGTTGAATTTAGCTATAAAATATGCATCTCGCTTAACTAATGTCTTATTGATACGTAACCTTCAATTTTTCATTCTTCCAGCTGTACCAGCTCCAACTAACTTGCAGTTTGGAGGTGTGGGTCCGGACCACATCCGGGTGACGTGGACCATCCCCAACATCGCCACGCCCAGTGAAATTTCTCGTTTTGTAATCCGCTACCACCCCGTGAACACGGACAACGATGTAAAGGAAGTCAATGTTGGTGGCGCCACTAACACCTTCCTGCTGCAGAGTGAGGCAACACGCAACTTATGGTGTCTGTTGAAAAACCAAAATTACATGTTGCAATCATTATTATTTCTCATTTTTTCTATAAAGACCTGCAGCCCAACACAGAGTACCGTATCGGTGTTGTCTGCGTCTACGGTGAACGAGAAAGTGAACCTGCTACAGGGACTCAGAGAACAAGTGAGTATTGTAGAGTATTGTAGAGTAGGCCGTCTTATGAAAGGTGATGTGAAAGCTGACGGAAACTGACAAAAAACGAAAACCTCAATTTTCATCAATTATATGATGAAAACTATAAGAAAACTAAATTTTCATGTAGTTTAGTCCCTGCAGGATACAATCAGTGGATTTACATTGTTCTTAATCAAACCAGTTCTTCAGACTTTATGAAAGTCTTTGAGAGAATTTATGTGAATCTTAACCACTGTTAGATGAAAACCCAATGAACAGGAGATGGGTAATCTCTTAAAGACGTAACTTTCTGATATTGCTCGTCCGCTCAGGATTTTGCTTTAATTTCTTTTTTTCTTCTCTCTTGTCCTCATTTATTAATTTGAAACAACCTCTAAGTCATCTCAAACCTTTGTTTTAGATTTCTTTCCAGATTTATTTTTATGCTGACTTCCAGTTCAGCTCAATTTTCTAAAACCTCCTTCCAGTTCTGGACTCGCCGACTGACCTGCGTTTCACCGACATCCGGACCAACTCCTTCACTGTTCAGTGGCAGGCTCCCATAGCTCCTATCACAGGCTACCGGTTTCGGTACCAGAAGACAAGTGGTGGGCGAGCCAAGGACGACAGGCTCCCCCCATCCAAGAACCACTTCACTGTGACCGGACTGGAACCCGAGGCTGAATACATGATATACGTGTATGCTGTCTATGGCAATGAGGAAAGTCAACCTCTAACTGGAACACAAGCCACCAGTAAGTTTTTTTATTTGTTTTTTTGAAGTGGGATCCTGCAGCTTGATCCTGTAATCTTTGATTATTACAAATGTTAATCTTTTACCTCTTTACTGCTTTTCAGTCTCTGATGCACCCACTGATCTTGAGGTAACATCGTCCACACCTACCAGCATCACCATCCGCTGGGACGCCCCTTCTGTCGAAGTGAAGAACTACAGGATCACCTACGGGGGCACAAGTGTGTAGCTGTGATTAATTTCCAAAGTTGGTCCACACTTCGCCAAAATGCAAAGTTTCACAGTAACATTTTGTTTATTTGCTTGTAGGTGGCGAATCTCCCCAAGAGTTTACAATCCCAGGCTCTCAGACCACCGCCATCATCACCGGGCTGAGGCCCGGCACTGACTACACCATCACGGTTTACGCCGTCACGGCACGAGGAGACAGCCCAGCCTCCAACAGACCTGTCTACATAACACACAGGACAGGTATTATGATGTGAACAAAAAAAACAAAAAACTGTTTGTTAGAAGGGATCTAGACGTTTCATTAATTCCCATTTTATTTAGATACCGAACCCCCCACTGACATGAGGGTCACCGATGTGACCGACAACGGCATTAAAGTGCGCTGGTCTCCGCCTCAGGGTCCAGTCAGAGGCTACAGAGTCACAGTTGCCCCCAAGAATGGTTTGGGACCGTCCTACTCTGAAGTCGTGGCTCCCCGTAAGATATGCTATGTTCTTACGTAACATTCGTAAATACTTAATGTTATCTTCCTCAAAAACTGACCTATTTTATTTTTGCTTTGCAGAGACGACAGAAAAGTCTTTCGTAGGTCTGATGCCCACAGTTGAGTACGTTGTCAGCGTTTTTGCCTTGGGCAGTGGTGGACAACCCTCTTCTCCTGTTGTGGAGAACGCTTTCACTGGTTAGTTTAATTCAAACATCTAAAACTGGTGCAAGAAAAGGACTGCTTTGATAAAGAAAATTACGTCAGATGCTGTTAAGAGGCTTGCAATGACATTCACATGTAATAGAAAGCATACGTTAAATGTGGCGTATGGGAGTTTAAAAAATCTTGTGGTGTTAATCTCATTTTGGGAACAGGGTAAAAGTAGATGATGCGCAAAGCATGTTATCACTCAAGCTTTGCCATGAAAGGAATATTTCATCCTCCGTCTTTGTTGCAGCCATGGATCATCCCAAGGATCTGATCTTCTCCGACATCGACTCCACCTCCATGCGCATCACGTGGGAAAGCCCCGAAGGCACGGTGACGTCTTACCGCGTTTTGTACTCAAGCTCAGAGGAGGGAGAGAGAGAACTTCGCCCGGCTCCCACAGGTGATCATGACAGCGCTGTGCTAAAAAATCTCCGTCCTGGAACCGAGTACACAGTGAAGGTCATCGCCTACAACGGCCGGACTCCCAGCACACCTCTAGTGGGAACCCAAGCAACAGGTAGAAATTCAGGAAACATATTCCTATGCAGGACTCGCAGACATGCAAGCTTAATGTTTGCTGTGGTGACTTTGTTTTAGTCATCCCTCCACCGACCAACATGATGGTCTCTGAGGTTGGACCGTCTTTCTTCACGATTACGTGGCAGGCTCCAAACGCCCGCCTGACCGGCTACCGTGTGGTCGTCACCCCGAAGAATATCAACAGCCCCCGCAAAGAAATGAACGTTGCCCCAGATACCACGCGTGTCGTTGTACCAGGGCTTATGGTAAACAATGTTCTTGTACATGAATGAAAACTGAGATAAATACACTTTACTCAGTGCTGGCATGTCAGTAATATGTGTTTGTCCTTTAGGTTGCAACAACATATCAGATTCAGGTCTATGCCTTGAAGAACTCTGTCACCAGCAGACCACTGGAAGGAGAGGCAACCACACTGGAAGGTCTGTGGCTTCTTTACTTCCCAAAATGTGTTCATCCTTTGCTTGCCAAAAGGAAGCCATTTTGTAATCTTCATTAGTGGTTAATATTAAGAGTTTCTTTCTTTTTCTTTTTGGCTTCATCTGAGCCACAGAGGCCCTGGTCAGAGCCATTAGTGGAGTTATTGTTGGCACCAGCTTTATGGCCTTTGTTTTTATCTCGTCTTTTAAACAATTTCTGAACCATGAATTCTGTGTTTGCCTTTTTCTCTTCTAAACTCCCGCCCTCAGCAATAACTTTTCACATAATACGATCTAAATCTGACAATCTCATTGGATTAGGATTAGTTTGCTTCATTTACACTAAATTTTGACCACTTTGAATTCAATAGACCAAGATGTGAATTGGATTTGTTTTTCTTGTAACAGAGGAAATGAGCTTTTTGTTGTAAACCGGTGGCATAGAATAATACATTTTTAAAAGCGTAACCTATTACTGGCAGGTCAGAGGGAAGAGACCTCTATGAAAGATTACTGAAACAGCAGGCAAAACATAAAGAAATGACAGATGACTCTTAAACTGTTACATTTGTAGAGCTCACTGATCTGTTGGTAATTTGGTCAATGCAGAGGTCAGTTCTCCTCGCCGTGTGCGAATCATCGATTCGAAGGAAACCTCTTTGACTTTGAGTTGGCGCTCCAAGGGGGAGACGATCACTGGCTTCCTTCTTGAAGCTACGCCTATGAGTGGATCTCGTGACACCATCAGAAGGACCATCCCAGGAGACACATACACCTACACTTTGACCGGTAGACCTCGTCTCTCAGCTACATGAACCGGTTCGTTGTCTGAAGTGATTTGTTGAATGGGTCTCGCTTCACAGTGTGCGTTTTTGTGTTTTTCAGGTCTGCGGCCAGGAACCTCTTATTCCATTAACTTGTATACTCTGAATGGAAACACAAGGAGCGCTCCGTTCACTCTCCGGGGTGATACAGGTATAAAACGAGTCTGTGTGCCTTGTCTTTTAAACCTTGGGAAGCATCGGTGTGGCCATAATTTGACCTTCATAATCACATATGGACATGGTTGAATAAAAAGAGTGATGCACAATAAAAAATACGCTTTCTCTTGAGTAGGTGTAAAGTTAAATTATTTCATTTTTTACACACAGTTTGTTAGTAGTAAGACTTGGACTACACCAACATTCACAATAACAACACTTACTGAATTTGTTGTAAAACTTTACAAAGTTGATTTATTTGAGGTATACCTTCCTTTTATAAAAATGGATCCCAGTTTTCATTGATGTTTTAGCTTATCAGAACAAAAGTTTTTGAAAATAGTTCATGACGCATGATTTTTTCTTTTTCTTCTTCACAGTAAAACCTGTGGTCCAGGCTCCTACCGGCCTCCAGTTAACATCCATGACCCCCACATCCATTTCCTTCACCTGGCAGCCTCCTCCCACACAAATCACCGGATACTACATCACCTACGAAGAGACTGGAAGAGCCCCACAGGAGCTCATCCCACAACCCCACGCTGGCCAAAACTACGCCACCATAACTCGTACGTCCAAATCATTTCTTGTCCAAGTAATGGAATCTAATTTCAGAGTGAAATAGTACCAAAGTCGTCTTAAAATAGCCACCCTTAGTATATTTTTTTGACACTAATGAATTAACCGAACGTGACATATGATGTTTCTGTTCAGGTCTGAAACCAAACACAGACTACATCATCAAGATCATCGTCATCCAGAGCGGACAGAGGAGCACACCTCTGGTGGGAAGGATCAGAACTCGTAAGTATTCAGAATATTTACCTTTTATATTAAAAACAAAGTGGTTGCAGGTAAATGAGTTGAAAAATGTCATGTTTGAGCCTCTGCTTGTATTTGCTCAAATGCATTTTTTTAAAATTTGCTGTAGGAAGCCTACAGTCAAGCAGTGTTTGGCTCTTAAAAACATAATAGTTTGAATGTCTTCACAAATGTCATTCAAAAATATATGCGTGTGTTTGCAACGCTATGTCATGAAACAAAAGTTGAGTTTCAGTCCAAAGCTGCAGATGTGCTGCGTCCTGAGTGGCTGCGATAAATTAGCTGCACCGTCGCTCTGCCTCATCTAACCGGCTTGCTTCCCTAACCCGTCTCTCCCGCCCAGAGTCAGACTCCCTGCGTCCCCAGCCTCTGCCGCCGCCGTACCGCCCCGGGGCCGGCGACCGGCTGGATGTGCCCGAAACTGACTTAGACAACCAAGTCCAGTTTACAGGACCCAACCAGGATGTAGTTGGGGGTCAAAGCCAGCATGTGGAGTTCACAGAGTTTAACAATGGAGGCAACCCGCAGTCACCCAGTGAGCAAGTCCGTGAGCCCCTGGTCTTTGTCCCTCTCCCCGATGCAGAAGGCCGTAGACAGCCTGTTGTGAGGCTCAAATTTCCCATCAGAGCCTCGCTTTTTAATCAGACAGGACTGCCACAGGAAGCCCAGACTCAAACCAGCATCTCCTGGAAGCCCTACAGGCAGAGCAATGCCTACTTCCTGTCCTGCAATCCCCTCACAAGCAGAAATGAGAAGATGTTCACGGTAAGAAGTGAGACCCAAAAGATTTCAGTCAACGCAGCATGCAGCTCATTTCAAATTCAATCAATTCTCGATCTCCAGGTCCGCCTGCCAGGCACAGCCACCACCGCCACCCTGATAGGACTCACTCCTGGAGAAGACTATAACGTGATAGTGGAGGCGCTGCTGGGAGCGCTCAAACAGAAGATTCTGGAGCAGAAGGTCACCGCCGGAAACACAAGTAAGCTCAGTGTTCAGGGAAATAGCGATGGACTCCAAATAGGACAAAACAAAAATGTTTTAAAATATAGCCTCTCTGATCCGTTTGGGGAAATATGGAGCAGAAACAGACTCATAGTCGTTACTGCTGTAATGACATTAAATGTTGGGGTAAAATATTACAAACATTAGAAACGATTTTTATCTTACGTAAAAGATGACGTAAAAAAATAATAAATTATATTCTTTAACATTAATTAAATTTGTTGCCGAATTTTTCTTCTTTTTTTAATTCTACTTGTCAGCAAAGACTTTAGCACATGGATGTAGTTCAGAAATGATGATGCTTACCAAGTTAGCCAGATTTATAGTTCTAGAATTGCTGAAGCAATACAACAGAAATGTCAAAATCCTGTTCTTTTCAACCAGAAAATTCTCACAAGAAGAATCCTAAACATGGTTAAACACTCAACATAAATATGAAACAATTTGCAGATCGGATTTCATATTTCTGGAGACTTGCTTGAATCTTAAAATCAAGTTCATAAGCAGAGTACAAAAATGATGTTGATCTCTGATGTCCCATTTTTGCTTCTCCATCCTGACCCTCTGCCAGTATCGAGCGGAGTCCCCTCCACCAACGAGCCATGCTACGATGCCTTCACTGCCACCTACCACGACGTCGGAGGCGAATGGGAGCGCATGTCCGAGACGGGCTTCAAGCTGTGGTGCCGGTGCCTGGGCGGCGGTCACTTTCGATGCGATTCGTCGAGTAAGTTTTGCTCACGCGTGAACACAACCGAGCGGGTTTCTCTCGACCTCCGTAACGGTTTCGTCTTGTACTGCAGAGTGGTGCCACGACAACGGCGTGAACTACCGCATCGGCGAGCAGTGGGATCGCCAGGCCGAGAACGGACACCTCATGAGCTGCACCTGCTTGGGGAACGGCAAAGGAGAATTTAAGTGTGAACCACGTAAGGCTTCTTTCACGCCATTTTCTGATGCGGTGAGGCGTTTCCAATAGAGCTGAGTTTCCCTGTGCGCGCCTTTCCACGCAGACGCGTCAGTGTGTTATGATGAAGGCAAAACCTACCAGGTGGGCAGCCAGTGGCAGAAGGAGTACCTGGGCTCTATCTGCACCTGCACTTGCGATGGAGGACAACAGGTTTGACAAATCAAGCTTCCATTCATTTGTTAGATGGAGCCTTAATTGACGCGCATGCTTGTGCCTCACAGGGATGGCGGTGCGAGAACTGCCGCAGACCAGGCTCTGACGTCACCCTGTTGGAGTCTACTAGATACGGAGAAAACACGCTTCGAAAAGTGAGATGAATATTATCGTATTCTTTTGCAGGTGTTGAATATAATTCCTTTCGCCAACCCCTCGTGTCGACGCTGCGCTCCTCTTTTATGTTGCAGAACATCCATTGCCCCATCGAGTGCCTGCGACCCGAGCTGCTGGCGGATGGAATCGCTCATCAAAACGCTCAGGAGTAACTCCTCGTACTGTCACGTGACTCCCGCTTTCACCGCCTCAGTTGCTGCACTGTCCCACCTCGTCAGTGTGACTGCATTATCACTTTCCACGGCACACTCACGAAGCTTCCTGCCCTGCTGCCTGATCTGTTCAGATCTCTTTTGCAAGCCAGTCAGTTCACTGTTGAAGACACCTGCCTCATGACTGAACTGAGGCCTCTAGTGACCCATTACAGCTCCATGTAAATAAGGTTATCAAGGCTACTTATCCAGCTGGCATTTGTTTTCCATTTGACATGTTTTGGATCTACTCATCATAAAACATTGTCACAAAGTAAGCACTGTTTAAGAATTCAAGTAGTTATTAGCGTTTTTATCTGTCTACAGGGACCTGGTTCTTTCTGTAACCCTTCAAGTGTGAAGGGTCGCACTGTGTGATTGACAAACTTTAGACATCTTTTTTTTTTTTAAACCAGTTCATCCCTTTAATCACGGTATTCGAATGTTTGAGCTCGGCTTTGAGAATGTGAACCGGTCTATTTTTGTACTTTGTCAGCGCCAATGTTGTGTTTGTCTTTGACAAAAGTCCCTTGTTTTAATAAAGCTGGAGAGATTCTAAATTGTGAATATTGTGTGATCATCTATGCCATAGTTTTTGTTCTGCATACAAACAGAAACTTGGACACCATGGGAAAAACTTAACTTTTTTTTTCAGATGGAAAGCACTGATGTCTTGTATAAACAGATTTTTTTTCTGGATATTCAGTTTGCATGCTAACAAACCTGGGCTTTTTGGCATGCAATCAACTGTGTAACATTCATTTTGTTCATTTGTTGCCAACTTTAAATTAGTATAAAAACACTCAGATAAGCTGATTTTTAAATCAAATGAGCAATGCGACCAAAAGTAGTAGTTGTTTTCTAAATATTGGTGAAACAAACTTGTCATTTTTCAAAAACAGCAATGAATGTGTCAAATTCAAAATTATTTAAAATAATGTACTAGAAAATGTTTTGACCTAGTGATGTGACTGAATACCAAGTTAAAAACTTGAGAAGCAAGATAACAGGCCACAAGAATAAAAACAATACTACTCAGCAGTTTATTTGAATAACCTACATTCAACATTCACAGCTACTTTATTGCTCCCCCATATTAGAGCGCAGCTAATGTTACAAAAACAAACCAGTAGTGATTTCTACACTTCTACAATAGTAACAGCAGGAATGTCTCAGTATCAGAAACGTTGCTAATGCTCAGTGATGGAAGAGTCGCAGGCTGGTGTGCACCAGAGTGATCCCCAGCTCATTGCAGGAATTAATCACAACCTCATCAGCAGCAGAGCCTGCAGGAGCTGCGATGTACTCAACGCCGCTCTGCATACAGACAGACAGAAAGAAGAGACATGAGAGGTGGTTACCCTGCAAGCCGGGCTGACTTTCATGCATCCTAAAGAGTGTGGACATGCTGAGAGTGCAATTTACCCGTTTGGCTCGATCTATGTTGTCTCTGAAGGGAAAGAAGGCGTCAGAGCTGACAGCGACGGCCTGCAGGGAGCTGATCCAGTTCTTCTTTTCAGTAGCCGACAGAAACTCCGGTACCTCTTCGTACATGGACTTCCAGACATCCAGGTCTGAACCCTGCAAGCACAAAATGCACATACGACCTTAAAAAAACAAAAACAAAGATAAATTTCCGTTTTGGTCACAGACCACAAATCTTTCAAACTAAACACTCTTTTCTGCTGCTGGTCTGACAGCGTGGGTGAAGTTGTAGATTGGGCTGAAATGATTAATGGAGATAAATTATTTAAATAACCATCAACTAATTTAGTAATCGATTAATTATTACAAGGTTTATAAAGACTCAAAAAGGTAATTTGCTGAAACACAAAGCAGTAATTACTCCAGAACTGTACAAAAAATATATACATTTTGCATTTAAGATAAAAAAAAACATCTTTGTAAATATGTACTACCCAGAACTCTTTACATAACAGTTTTAGCGCAACCTGGTTCAAAATGTGTAAAAAAAAAAAAGAAAAATTTTTTTTTACCTTTTGCTATCATAAAATCACTCAAACACATCATCCCTGCTCTGTACTGACTTTAAGTCAAGCAGAAAGTGTTTTTTACATGTTTATGTTAGACATATTCTTTTCTGGATAATTTGCTGCAAACAATGAGGCTAAAGGAATGCTATTATTGCAATCTAGGCAAAAAAACAACTTACAATTCTCTTTTTAAATACAGAAATAAATATTTGTTTATTTGCATCTTTTAATGTATTTCTAATCTACAGAATGTGCCAGTTTTCTTATCAGATTAATTGTCAGAATAATAAAACACAAAACACAAGTTGCCAAAATTAAATTGAACTTGCTTAAGTTACTAAGCAATACAGAAATATATTGCCGATTTATGTTAAATTTGTCCTTAGTAAACAGTTTTTAGTTTAAAAGCAGGTTGCCTCAGTCTGCCACCAATTACAACACTGTGCACATTCAGAGGGATGCCATAAATCTGAGCTCAATGATGCTGCTAACCGGAAGGTCATTAGTTGCAGCGAAATCATGATTTTGTTATTACATTCAGTTCTTCCTGCACAGATGCACACACTTCTGAACTGATGAAATGCAGGAAAAGCTACTAAAACATGCTGGTCATCTCCTCCTCACCTCGCCAACGGTGTCGCTGACAAACTGGTCGATGGCGTTAGCCATCTCTGCTCGCTTCACGCCACTACGAAACTTCATGCTCAGAACACGAGGGTGGTGTCTGAGCCACCAGTTGTCCGCCTTGTCACCCGCCAGCCGCATGCAGTGGATACGAGACTGCTGACCGGCGCCAATGCCAATGACCTGGACACAACGCAGACGAGTGGAAAATTCACACCAAGTCGGATCATTTCATTCAGCTTCCAGACTGGACTGACCTGTCCGGCTTTAGCGTAGCAGACCGAGTTGGACTGGGTGTACTTGACAGCGATGGTGGCCACAGTGAGGTCACGCAGGGCGTCCTCAGACAGCTTGTCGTTAAGGTCAGAAAGCAGTTAGTGTTGATCGTTCGGGCCGTGCAGGTGAGCAGCGGCGCATCGCAGAGACTCACCGAACCCTTGGAAACAACATTCCTGAAGAACTCCTTGTTGATCAGAGCGTCGTTCCTCTTCTGCTTGAGGTAGAGACCAAACAGCACCCTCACCTCAGTGCTGTCAGGCTCATAATCTGGATCCATCTGGAAGAAAGGAACAAGATGAAAAAAGAAATCGATTTTATTAAACACGAAAAAGCATTAAACCGAAGCAAACGCAGCACCAGGTTTTGCTTAAGTGTTTTTGTGTTACTCTAATTATGTAGGAAGGTAAAAACAGGTTTTCTCTATTATCAGACTTGAGGGAAGCAGAGTTAAGCTGGAGCCGTTTACTTCAGTGAAACTTGTGTCATGTTCACCTGAAGCACGCAGTAGTTGCCGTTTTTCTTTTTCGAAAGGATTTTGAGCGCCTCCTCCTCATAACCAGGAGCTATGATACCATCCGACACCTGAAAATCACCAAAGCGAAACAAACAGTGTTAAAATGCAAAATAAGAATCACCCACTCATATTCATTTCTTTTTTATTCACCTCTCTGGATATAATCTTGGCTGTAGGAACGTCACAAACATCCGACAGAGCAATAAAATCCCCAAAAGAAGACATTCGGTCTGAGCCTGGAAGGATTTCATTAACGTCAACGGCATAGAGATTCAAACACAAAATACTTTACATTAATAAACTCTCAGCCTGTTTGACCTCTTGCTCTTGCGTACGCTGTGGCCAGAGGGGTGAGATCCTTCAGCATGTCATGGACCATGCACACTTTGGCTTCCTCCTCACTCAGAGGAACTCCTACAGCAGCTCCTGCAGCAAAGAGGCGGAAAAACCATGCAGATAAAGCAGCACAGATCCCGCCTCCGACATTCTGAGGAGCGGCAGTGTGTCATCGTCTCACCGGCAGGGCTGACGTGTTTGAAGGACGTGGCAGCAGCCACGCCGAGGGCGGCCTTCAGCTCTCTGACCAGCTGCCAGGCGTTCAGAGCGTCGCAGAGGTTGATGAAGCCCGGAGAGCCATTCGCCACTGAAGGATAGAAAACGTTGAGCTCAAAATTATCCATGCACATTCCTTGGCAGACGTTTCAAAAAATATTTTCATCTGGACAAAAAGTTTGTTTCAGATAGAAAATGATGTTTTTGTAACGTAAAAAAGAGCATCAGTTTGCAAAAGATGATTTGTTTTCAATTATATTAAAGTTGGCAGGTCAAAAAAAAGTTTCTATTTAATATTAACTGAAAAAAATACAACAATCAAATCTTTTTTCTTTTCCTTTGATGCATTAAAACTACAAAGTTTTTATATGCATATTAATAGTAATTACAGAGAAACTTGCATTGTGTTCAAGTTTTCACACTTTGAAATTTTAATTTAATTTTAATTTTGAGCCGCTCGTGATGCGTCTTACCTTTGAGCGGGAGCTCGGAGCGCAGCGTGAAGATCTGGGCGGGGGCTTGGTGGGGGTTCATGCCGTAACGGAGGGGCAGCTGGGACACTCCGCGACTGTACTGCCCCCGGAAGTAGTCGGATATGGCCTCGTCATACTGCGCTGTGTGTGTGAAGGCCTGGAGAGGGAATCAAAGATACACGCGTGAGCCCAGTTCACATTTAAGACTTTGACTAAAAACTCACTTTTTGCCACAAATCCAACTAGAGTCAAATTTGAGGAACGTATTTGTGTCTGCAAGCTTCACTCATCAGTTATGGTTAAAGTTCAGGTGCCTGAAATGCTAAAGCTGTGACCTCTGACAACATCTGTGATAAAAAGCTTACTTTGTTCTGCTCTGACCATCACTTTTACACATGCACACACATAAGAAGAAAAAAACAACAACATATAACGCTCTTTATGGATTATTTTCCCAGAACAATTCCAAATCTAAAGCACACACACAAAAATCCAGACATTTAATTGCTTTCAAGACATCAGTCTTGGCTGTAGATTCCAAAAGTAATGAAACAAAACAATGTTGAAATGGTCTAGGATTTTCAGACTGCTGCAGGTCACTGCTGGACTAGAAATAGAAAATATATGAATTCTATTTGAATGTAACTTTCGGATTTGTAAAATATTTTTGTATAAGAACTGGAGTTAATTCAACCAAATGCAGCTCAAGTATAAGCGTTTGTGAACACCTGCAAATTTATTCAATTGTTTGAAAAAAATAAAATGAACTTTAATAGTTAATGGAGGGGGTGAAGTGGAGAAGTCCTTCAGTGACAGACTGCTGCATCCTACAGGCACAAATGAGCATCGCTGTAGTTCCTTCTGCAGACTTTATAACCACCACTGATCTCAAGAAGTTTTCACAGCCCTGCTATTGTTGGGATTTTCTCATAATTTTCTTTTCTCATCCCTAACTTAAATGCAAAAAGATACATACTCATTTTGTACATTTTAAAAAACCAATTATTCTGTTAACTGCATAGTCTCTTTTATTTTGTAAATTTGTCTTGACTGCACAGTCTCGCTTCTGCTTTTTTTATTTATTTTTGCCAGTTGTAACTGGTACAGCTGAAATTCCCCACTGAGGGGCTA